CCCGCAGAATGACTGGATGGGTGCCAAACTGCAGGGGGAAGTTAGAATGGGGTCTATACTCACTGCATTCCAGAGTTATAGTACACAGTGAGACCCTCACCCTGAGCCACAAGATGTCCTCTGTGAGTTATTTTCTCCATGATGCTAAGGTTCTTATTCAGTCTTCCTAGTCTGCTTCACTGGACTGTTTTGTGGCTGGAAGAACACACAGCAGGGACACTGCCTGGTCAGTAGCAAAACCCCTAGATAGATGCACATGCTGTAAGAGTCTGCCTCAGCTCAAGATGAAAGGTCAGGGTCTGGTCCCAGCTGCATGTGGCCTCTGTCACTGATCAGAGTAGTGCATTGGTCATCCTGCCTTTCTTGATTTAGCTTTGCAGAGATTAGGTGCTAAAAGAGGAGTGGAGATAGTGACCCTTTTGCCTCACTCAGCCCAGCCTTCCAGACACTCAATACTTTGTGTCAGGAATGGAGCCCTAGGCTCCACCCCAGCCCTGACCCAAATCCATGAATCCTAGCAATCCACATTTGAGATTCATGGCCACCTCTTCCTGGGCTTCATAGTTCATCTGGGACAGGAGGGGGATCTTTTTCCTGAAGATGAGAACACAGAGATGGGAGGAGCTTATTCCAATTGGCAGCAGCTACCTGAGTAGTTTTGAGTTGGACTCTGGGGTCCTGAATCCTGTTCTGTCCTGTAATCACTGGGCCTGATTCTTCACCTGTGGGAGAGCCTTCATCTGTGAGAAGGCTATCCGCTGCATCATCCCAGAATGCGGCAGAAGAGCCAAACAAGACTCAATGTACAGCATGCTCAGCACAGAGCCCAGCACATCCATGCACCCAAGAGTCTAGAGGTCTTATTAATAATAACACAAACTTTCGGCCTCTGGTGGCTTGCTCTCCCCCATCCCCAATGTCTAAGGATTGAAGATAGCAGCTGGCAGTGGGAGGTGGTTGCTTTAAATATAAGATGAGGAGAACAAAGGGAAAATAGAACAAGGGGGTGGTTAGTGGCTACACCAACCACCCCCCTCCAGACTTGGGGGGGATCTAGGGTCCCAAGCTGCCAACCAGGCACCACCATTCTTTGTGAGCCTTGCTGTGCAGTCAGGTTTGCCTGGTTTGGATCAGCACTCCACCACAGGAGGAGAGGAGATCCTGCCTGGCTGTAGGTTCACTTCTGAGAATCAGGAAGTAGGTTGAGTGAGGTCCTGGGGGGGGGGGTTTTCTCCCCACTTCCAAGGCAACATGAAATATTCACTAGAAGATTCTTTGTAGGTCCCATGAACTTCAAAGGCTGAGCCCCTCCAGCTGCCTACCACCCTTGGTTGCTATGGAGCCCATGATGAAGTCCTTACCTTCTACCTCATTAAGCCAGTCCCTTAGTGTCCTCCACTCTCCTTGGAGATTGTTTTTGGTCTTTGCGGTGCCCAGGGGGCACTAGGATGCCATTCTCTGAGCTGGCTGGGACCAGTCATCTGTCTTCCAGGCAAAGTATTGGCATTTGGCTTCCAACTGTGTATAAGACTCAGACTCATGTTGGTGCAGGAGGGGGCCAAGGTGCTTCCGATGGCATTGGAGATCTACGACACAGGTGGATGTGCCTTCTGAGAGAGGAAGTAGGTAGGCAATAGGTAAGCCAGGGCCATACCTGTAATGTGGAGCCCCTCATCATGGAAGAGGTAAATAGAAGGAGCCAAGAGGAAGAGGGCCCAAGAGGAAGCAGTTTCCAGGTGGACAATGAGCCTGGTAACCTAGATGTGGTCCTGGCTGGAGTTGCTTCCTGGCTAGATTTTAGGCTAACAATTCATTCTCCAAGCCTTAGTTTCTCTACTTGTAAATGAGGGCAATTCCTACCTCAATAGTCTATGGAGGATTACATGACATGTCACACGAGGGCTGTCAAGACTTTCACAGAGAAAGAACCTTCCCCCAGGAAATGCTAAAGCCAGTTGGGTGCAACCTTTTCTAGGAGCCAGTCCCAGCTTCCCTCCACCCTCTCCTAGGCAGTGAGTTATTGCACCTCCCTAAGTCCCACCTTCTCTTCCTAGCAAATGACCCCCTCAGTGTGTCTTAGTTCCCAGGTCTGTATCCCACTTGCCTGGCCACTGGCCAACAAAGACATTGTGTCACTCTCTTCTTCAGTTGTCAGTCATCCCAAAGAGAAGGCCTAGGTGACCATGGATGGTAGGGACCTCAGAACACACAAAAAAAGCAGAGCTCCTGGGATCAAGAAAAGAAGCCCCTGGACACATATACTGGAGATTTATGGCAGAGGAGGTCATGGTCAGCTGGCCAAAACAGGTCTTGAAGAAATAGACCTGATGCTAGGTCTTGGTGACACATGCCTTTAATCCCAGCACTGGAGAGGCAGAGACAGGTGGATCTCTTTGAGTTTGAGGCCAGCCTGATCTGCAGAGCAAGTTCCAGGACAGGCTCCAAAGCAATACAGAGAAACTTTGTCTCGAAAAACTAAAAAACAAAAACAAAAACAAACAAACAAACAAGCAAAAACAAAAAGAAAGAAAGAAAAGAAATAGACCTGAGTTGGGTGGTGGTGGTAGTGGTGGTGCACATCTTTAATCCCAGCAGGCATATCTGTGAGTTTGAGGCCAGCCTGCTCTACAGAGTGAGTTCCAGGACAGCCAGAGTGGTTTCACCGAGAAACAGTGTTGTAATTGTTTTTGTGCTGAGGTGGACTGGGGTATCTGAATGAGAAGCAAACATGGCCATGGTGCACAGTGTGTGTGTGTGTGTGTGCGTGCGCGCCTGCCTGCCAGAGGTTGACTTTCTGTGTCTTCCTCAATTGCTCTCCATCTTATTCCATTTTTGTTTATTCATTCTGGGTGTGTCATGCCACAGAGTCTGTACAGAGGTCAAGGACAATTTATGAGAGACAATTGTCTGACCCACCTCCTACAGATTGAGCTCAGGTCATCAGGCTTGGCAGCAGGTGACTATCCACTCAGCTATTGTGGACTACCTCCACCTCATTGTTTGGGACAGAGTTCTTGAAATTCATTAATATGGCTAGATGGGTGGCCAGAGAGACCCAGGGATCCTCCTGTCTCAGCCCTCCAACTCAGGGATTACAGGAACATGTTCCCATGCCTGACCTTTTGCACAGGTCCTAGGGATCAAGCTCAGCTCCTCAGGCTTGTGCAGCAAGCACTCTGATGAACCACCTCTGCATTGCTGAACAATCTCCCCTTTGCTCACCCTGTGTATTTTAGGAAGAGGAATCACGATTTGGAACTGTGACTTTTCAGTTGCCTCACATGATCGTTTTGGAGTCACGTGTGTTGCATGTTACCTGAGCCATGGAAGTAACTATAACATACTTCCTTTGTGTGCAGAATTATGACACATCTTTTCTATGCTTGAAGTGCTTGCCTTGTACTGAACAAAAGCTAAGGTGGGGGTGTCCTAGTTTCATTCCTATTGTCATGGTAAAATATCCTGAAAAAAAACTTATGGGACAAAGTGTTGCAGGATACTTTGATCACACTGTGACACTCCAAGACTATCAGTAAAGTTTTCCTCGAATCAGGGAGTGGAGCCAGCAACTAGGTGACCGGAATTAGCCATAGAGGAGCCTGCAATTTGGATAGACACACAGGAAGGAAAGGTTGGTCTTTTTGGTTTGGGGGCAAGTGAAGAGATATGTCTCTTGCTGGGACTCCAGTCAAAAAGCAAGGTCAGCTAGTTGTTTCTGGGCTTCTCTGATCTACCAGGTTTTCACCCCCACATCTGACTTTAGAGTCTTTCCTTGGTGAATAGAATGATACTTAGTTTAAAGCTATTATCAAGGCTGCAGCAGTGTAGGAACTCAGACCATAAGGTTCACCAGGCTGCAGCCTGAGTGGCCGGCAGAGCACTGACTGCAGGATGGTGAGAGCCACAGACAATAAAATATCAGTAGATTCACGTGTGGCCACTAAGCCGACAGAAAAACATCAAGAAAGGGTTTATTTTAGGTCTGAATTCCAGGTTAAAGGGCCTTGGGGAGGTCACAGTGAGCTTGAAGCAACCAGTCAGATCACATCCACAGTCAGGAGCAGACACGCTCACTTGCTTGAGCTTCAATCAGTTTCTCCACTCTCACACAGTTCCGGACCCCTTTCATAGGATTGGTGCCACCCACCGTGGGCTGGGTCTTCCCACAGACACACCAGAGGTCATCCCGATGCAGACAGTCCCTCACTGAGGCTCTTCCCAGGTGGTTCCAGGTTGTGTCCACAATTAAAGCTAACTATCAGAGGTCATTAAATAGTAAACTACTATTTTATGTGGGGGAAACACAGAGGGGGTCACGTGATTTCTAGCTATAACAACATCTTTTTAGCTTTTACCCTTGAAATATAATTATGTGTTCACACACTGTGAAGAAGACAAAGGAGGAGGAAGACTACCCAGGGAAGTACCCTGCTCTGCTGCCCCATCACCTACCTGCCTGGCAGTGGTCACACAACCTCTGGGGGCAAGTGTCATGTCCACTCTACAAAGCTGCTGAGGCCTGGTACGTAACAGAGGGACCAGATCTGGGGACCTTGGAGCCCATAATCCCAGCCAGTATACCTTGGCTGCTGCTAAGCCAGCCTCACTTGCCAGCACCCACGTGTGGTACACTAAGGGAAGAACAGATGCTAGGCAGGCGTTGATCAGCCACAGCCATTCCAGGTTGGTGCCCCCTCAGTGCCTCCTGCACCACCCCACCTGGTCACCCCTTCCAGTCCATTGCACAGGGTTGCCCATCTCTCTGGGCAGTCCAGGAGGGATAGTTCCTGCTCCTCCCACCTGCCCAGATGGCTTTGGTGACACTTCTCCAGGCCTGTGCAGGAGCACACAGGCACAAGCACACTCACCCCTCCCTGGAGTCTGCTCTTTGTGGCATCATTGTTTAAGAGAACCAATGGAAATCTACAATTGGACAGGCAGGCCCAGCAGGGCAGAACAGAGTTTTTGTTCCAGGAAACTTCAATACACCATAGACTAAGTTTAGTTTTTAGTCATTTTAATTGTAAAAACCAAGACATTTATATAAATAAGACCGCTGTGTAAAATATGATTCACCCTTCTACTAAAACCCTTCTTCCCACACTCAAAAAGAATCTAGAAAAGCCAGCAAGGTAAGAAGTACAAATAGCATGCGGTCCCTGATGAAGTCCCTGGCAGGCCAGGTTTCCCTGCTAATGGGGCCTCACGGTGAGAGTATTCCTGGCCTAGGCCTCACCGGAGTTCAGCAACATCTTGAGAACTCGCTCTACACCATAGCCCTAGCTCTCAGCCATGCAGCTGACCTGATGGAGGTGATATGAAAGGTTTGTATGGCCCAGGCTGGGAGAAAGGGACAGGAAGACTGTGTGATTCTTACACCAAAGCCAGGGCTGTGAACTGCTGGTCCAGTAAGAAAGGATGGTCTGTTCAGCCCTGGGTTGGCTGGGGAAGGGGAGAGGGAACCCCTTCCCAATGACAAGGAGAGAAGTGTCCTGGGTCTCATGAGAGGAGAGGCCTCTTCTTGGGCTGCATCCACAAAGCCACTAATGACAAGGACAAGAGATATATCCTAGCAGTCTTTCGGACTGCTAGGGCTCCTGGGATGAAAGGTGGGACCAGTCCATTCCAAGGAGAAGAGTCCCATGGCCTCACCCCCTTCACCTGTCACATGATCCCACCCCTCAATGCACGCAGAGATGCCTGTCCACAGCTCAGGACTCAGGGGAGACAGTGGAGAGCCCGGGAGTGGAGATGTCACTAAATTCAAATGCTGGGTGTGGCTCAGGAAACTGGTACACAAGGACAAAAGAAAAGACTCTGAGTTCTCTTTGTAGGGGCCAGGCTCTGCCCAGGGCTGCTCCCCAGCCCAGAGGAGAGGCGGGAGAGCAGGGGGATGGTGTCAGGAGCACTTCCACACACACACGGCCAGGGTTCCCCCGAAGTACAGGTAGAGGAGGTTCTTCACCTCATGGGTGATCTCGAAACCAAAGCCCTCGCCGATCACCACATGCCAGGAAGAGCCAAACTTCTTGTCCATTGTCTCTTTGATCATCTTTGCAGCACTCTGGAAGGGAGAAGGTGCCAATCAGGGGCAGTGACAGATAAAAACCAGTCCCCACACCAGGAAGAAGCCTGGCCTGAGCGTTAGGCAGAAAATGGCTGCTGCCCCAGCCTGCCTCCAGTGCCTGCAAGATCACCACAGATGGTTCTACACAGCACCTTCTGCAGGGTTATGCCATGGTTAAAGCACTGGACACCTCTTCAGGAAGAGATGGAGGCTTGAGAAGCTTGGGCTGAGGGCTGTCTGTATTACTCTGGGTTCCAGACCAGCATCCTCAGCTGTGAACCAGAAAAATGGCGCGCAAGGCTGCTGTGGGGACCAGAGGGATGACTGATTGGGGATGCTCAGGGTGAGGGCCGAGGGAGTTCTGGAGGAAGCTTGTCACCAATGAGTTTAACAGGTCCCAGAAAGACCCCAGGCATAGCAATGGCATTCCACTTCCCACATAGGCTATTTCCAAAGCTTCCTTCACCATGAAAAGGTTTAGGGACTCTAAGCACCATGTCCCCATCACCTCAGTGGTTCAGGAAAGAGGCACCATCACATCACTCCTAGTGACTAGAGGCCTACAGACTAGAGCTCTGAGTTCAGAGCTGAGAAACGGCTTGTCTTGAGAACACAGTGAGGAAGGATTGTAGACGGGATATGGCCACACCACCACCCTCTTTCTCACTACAGCCTCATGAATGGCACTGCTGGGCTGATATCTGTGGCCATATTCCAAAACCTGGAGCAACACCGGGACTCCACCCTTTCTGAATGGATGGATGACTTCATGAATGAATGCCTGGCAGCCTCTGCTCATAGCTGGGATGGAGGCCAGTTAGATGCCTTAGCCAACAGCCCACTTGAGTTTGGGGGTGCAGGTGGTGGTATGAAGATCCTGATGGCTACCCTCCCTCTGGGGCAGGGTGTGGCCCTTGGTAACCTTGCTAAAACCAACCTCTTCTCTCACTGGCCTTTCAGAACAGTGACCACTCCCAAGCAAGACTCTAGCTTTGTCCTGGCAGGATTCTGGAACTGGCCACATGGTTCTGGAGCCACCCTATCACACACAGGGTCACCAGAGGCACGAGGGGCCGTCTGTACTGATGGCAATACCTCATTGTTGTTGGAGAACTTCTCACAGGCTGTGACACAAAGCTCCATGGTCTCCACTCGCATCTCCTCTGGCATGTCCGAATGCTAGAGACAGAGCAGGGTGACAAACAGAGAGAGGCTTAGCCTGTGACCTAAGCTTCCTGGACAGCCTCTTGGTCTTAAGCTTAAGGCATGGATACTAGGTGGCTTCCCTGGCCCAGTCCTGGGCCAGTGACTTGTCCCTGACTAGGGCCTACAGCTGAGGCAGAGTATAATGGCGATGAGCTAATGCTCTGGGGCCCATGGCCCTGTGCAAGTGTCCATGTTCCCACCAAGAAGCATGTGTGGGAGGGAGCCCCAGCACAAGAAGTGGGCTCTCCTTCAGAGCCTGGCCAGTCCAGGAGGCCCCACTCCCTCCTGTTCTTTGGCTCCTTTCTCGGGCAGTTTGCCAGCTTCCTCCTCCTCCCATATGGAGGCCAGGGACTGTCTTCATCCTCGCCCTCTGCAGCCAAGTCCTTCCACACAGCTGTGTCTTCCAAGGGGAGGGTTCCACTTCTTTATGCCCTCCTTGGGCTCTAGACTCGGTTGTCTCAAGAATCTCTTGTCCCATCAAACCTGCTCTGCTTCCAGTTTCACTTTCTTGGGAACACAGACTTCTTGACTCTGGCCATCCTTGGCTTTCTTCCCCTGGCATCCAGATCCACCCCAATGAACAGCCTGGCAGGGTCAACCTGGCAGTCTTAGCACTTCCTCTGAGTACACTCTCCTAACTACAGCAAGAGTGATTTTCTAACAACATGGAACAATGGCACCAACAACTTCTGCCCCATCACTGCTCCTTGGGCCTTCGAGCCATGTTCCTCACAGGCTGCCAGCCAGGCCTTCATGACTAACTCCATTATCACTCTGACCCTCACACCTGCCACTCCTCAAGGGCTCAAGCCAGCCCTGTTGATGATGTCAAGCTTGTCCCATTCAGTCCCCTGTGCCTGCTGCTTCTTTGAGGGGCAGATCCTGACCTGACTGACTTCTTCCAGCTCAGTTCTTTATAGCTCTTATTGCCTGCCATTGTGTCCTTGTACACAAGCCAGACCATCATCTGTGTTGTTTGCCACCATTTTCACAGCGCCTAGACCATGCTTGGCATAGAGCAGGTGGCCTGAACATCACTTGGTGAATGAATGAATGGATGAAAGAATGAATCACTGATTGTTAGATGTTGGGGTTGGAGCCATCAGAGTCCTTTTCTTCTCACAGCAAGCTCTACTCACCTGCAGGCTGTGGGGCCTAGAGGCCACCTTTCTCCCTCCCCAGGCTTACCCTGACCAGGGGGAAGGTCTGCAGTCGCTTATAGTCAGCCTCCTCTTTCTTCCCTTCTGTCTCACCCATGATCTTCCCAGTGTGCCCTCAGGAGGAGAGAGTGGAACTTTCAGGAGGCCCTGGGCCCAGCAGTCACACTGATCAGGAGGCTTGGGAAGCAGGCCTTGCCAACTTGGCAGGAGCAGAAAATGTCTTTCCCCAAGGGGTGCTGCAAAGAACAGGAAAAGCAGGAGGAAAGAATTGGCTTCAAAACCACACATCACAAATTAGAAATGTCTCAGTGACAATCTGACACCTCCCCATCTCAACGCCTCTGCCTTGTTTCCCAAATGGCCAGCAAGTCTGCAGATGGAGGGTGAGTCAACCCAAGATGCTGCAAGAACACACTGTTATTGTCAAGACAGATACTGACTGTGAGCCAGGCCAGGGATTGAGTGAGAGCAACCAATTAGCAAGGACAGTTTCTGAGTGTCAATGGCAGCCTGTCTGGTACTAAGGAAGCCAAATGCATAGATGACCACGGACAATTTGGGTCTGTCACCAGGGGAAGGGTCCCTTCTGCAAGACCCTGCTCTGCAGGATAGAACAGTGTTGTATAATGGCTTTCTTGGCACACTGGGTGCCTTGATGGTCCCTGCCTGATCTCCCCAGAGCCACCAGGTCCTGTCTATCTGGTCCAGGAGCTGGAAGGTGTATGTACTGTTACCAGTTCAGCCTATGACCAGCAGCACATCCCAGGGCAAAGGAGTTCTCATTAGTGATTGGGGCCACTCCCATGACAGGGAAGTCAAAAGTCAATGAGACAAGGCATGCAGAGCAGCACACAGTGCCAGGCATGTGGGTATCATTAGTCAGTGGCTGTCTCCCCTTCCTCTGGTTCACAGGGGGACTCAATGAGGATATGGTAGGTCTAGCATTTTTTTTGTTTTTTGTTTGTTCTGTTTTGTTTGAGACACAAGCCCTTTCCCACCAGATCAGACATCTAATGATAGGCAGAGCTTTTCACAAACAGATGGACCACAGCCTAAACGATCACCAGTCCTGCACAAGTCAGGATACTTCTGCATCCCAGTTTCATGTATCCTAGGATAAAATCAAAGGGCTTCCCCTCTCAAAGGTACTGACATGCATGGATACAAACCACTGTGATGATGAACTTTTCTAGCAATTTATACAGACAAATGAGGCTGCACACCAAAGTAGTAGTTTTTGTTGTTGCATGGTTTGTTTTTCAACACAGAGTTTCTTTGTGTAACAGGTTTGGTGGTCCTGGGACTCATTTTGTAGACCAGGATGGCCTCGAACTCAGAGATCAGCCTGCTTCTGCCTCCTGAGTGCTGGGACTAAAGATGTGTGCCACCATTGTCTGGCTCAGCCACATTTCTTAAATCTGTAATAAATTTAATTTCACTACATGGCTATTGAACTCCAAGATTGTCAGCATAGTAACCAAGAGGTATATATATATATTTTGAGACAGTGTTTTTCAGGCTGGTTTGGAACTTCTGGACTCAAATGACCCTCCTGCTTCAGTCTGCAAATAGCTGGGAATAAAGGCACAGGCTACTGTGCCTGGCTGACGGGATTAACTGCCATGCACCAGCCCCCATTCCCAGCACTTAGTCTTTATGCAGAACTCCATGGTGATGACAGCAGAAGCTAGAGCCTGGGAGTGGAGGCAGGAAGCTGCTACCTCTAGCCTGAGGTCACTCAGCTTAGGAGTGAGGAGAGCTATTGCCCCAGAGCCACTCACTCACTTCCTGCACACACATGGGCCCTTGCTGCACATGTGACCACAAGTGTGGATCAGATGGCAGTGATGGGAGTGCTCCACCTCCCTTCCCAGTGGTCCTAGGGTGATTGTGATCTGGCTTGGTTGAGCACTGAGCTTTCTGGGTACTCTTTCCAGGCTGCACTATGCTCCTAATTCATACCCTTTCCGATGCTGCAGCCACCCTCAATGCCACACCATTAGTGGGCATCCTCAAGCAAGACTCCAAGCTTGGCATAGACTCCACCATTCCACGACACTGGTGTTTTCTGACTTCCCAGGGGACAGATGGGTCCACTTATCTTCTAACTCTGGGCATTTGTACAACTTGGGTTTTAGCAGGTTTTGTTTGTCTCTACATATGCACTGGCTGTTTACCAAGCACAATCTCACTGCACTTTCTGGTCAGGTTTCTTGTTCCACAAAATCCAAAGGGCCATTCATCTCTGCTCAATAGTGCTAAAGCTGTCTCCCACCTACGCACCTAGCTTTAGCAACACCATGTTATTGCCTCCTCAGCCACCTTCATCAAGGCGGTATGGTAGGGGGTTGCCAGGGCTTTCCACTTTGTTTACCTTTAAGAAACCCAAGTGGGAACGACTTGAAGTGTGGAAGCAGCTGCTCAGCATCTTCCACTTAAGTGTTTCAACTCAAATTGATTCATCCTCAGAGCTAAGAAAGGCTTCCAGGCAGGGGACAGGAAGGAATACAGAACCCATAGTGCATACCAACCTCAAGGCAATCCTATCTATATTAGCCTTAAAACAGAATCTGAGGGAGGTCACAGGACTTCACCGGTGCTACCAGAGTCCACTCTTCAGGAAAAAAGTGAAAAAGTCCAGGGAGCAGCAGCACAGAGCAGAGGATGCCAAGTCAAGAACATTTATGTCTAGGGGCTACAGGTGTGTCTGGGTGAAAAAATGCTTGCTTAGCTGGTATAAGGCCTTGAGTTTGATCCCTAGAGCTGTAAGATGGATATATGTCAACAAGCCAATGAAACATTAAGGTCTAGATGCCAGTTCTGTAAGAGAACAGAGTTTTGCCTCCTTCCTTGGCTTTGGAGCCATGAACAAGGGGCCACAGCCAGGCCAGGGCTTCTTCTCGGAGATTGCGCTCTGGTTCTTGGCAGGCTGACATAAGTGCTATTGTCTGAGTGGTGTGAATCACCAATGCCCTGTAGTTCTTGATGCTCTGGACTATCATCCCTCCAGCCAGGATTGAGCCATCATTATTCAACCAAATATGCTATGGACCATGATTCATGAACCCAATAGCTTCCCTAATCACTGCATATACTCCTGGCAACCCCAAACAGGTAAGACTTACAGAGGATGAGGAACTGTTAGAGATGGTGGGTGTCCACACAGAAAGAGAAGACAATTTTATGGTCCTGTACCATTCTGGTGCAGCTCCAGTCATTCAGCCACATTTAGCTCACCCTGCTGAACAGATGCTACCTAAAATAGCACAACTGGGGCTTTAATAACATTATCAATCTCCCATGTGAATGAGCACGTGCCTGAGAGAGGCTCTATCAGACCAGACCACACTTTTTAATAATGTAAGTGTACCACAGTCAGGGAAGCTAACTTTAACCCAATGCCATCTGGCTCTTGGTGGTACCTGAAGCCAGCATGAATTTGCTTTCCCTCTGGGATGCCTTTAGTGCTCTGCATAGCCTCATCCAAGAGGTACACACAGGGCTGCCCATTGCCTTGTCAAAGACAGTGTGCCTGTCTGGAAGGTCCTTGTTCCTTGTGACACTGACCTTAAGTCACCGTTTGTTACTTTGCTTCTGGAGTATTTGAGGAGAATCTTTAAGAGTGTTAGAGTGTGTGAGAGGTTTGGGGAAAATATATGACCTCTGGGAAGTAAAGCCAAAAGCATCTACAAACTGTGTATATGCATGTGTGTATGTATATATATATATGCATATGTGCACATGCATGTTATGTGTGTGCAGGAGCGTACATGCATACTTGCACCTGTGTGTGTGTGTGTTCATGTGCTTATATGCTGACACTTAACATTTGGAACATTCTTGGCCCTTAGGCTTCTAACCTACTACATAACCAAAAGACTACAGGACCCCTTTAGAGTGTGTCATGATGTATCTAAAGACGGGCAGGTGGGTCTGAATTATCATCTGTTCTGATGCTGGCAAGTACTCCTGCCCCTAAGCCTCGACTTTGAATCTGGAAGTGGGCTGAGCAGGCTTTTCCTCACAGTAAGGATCAGCACCTATTTCTGGGGTGTCAGGAAGAGGAACTTCACCGTCTTTCTTCATAGGAGCCAATCATATATTAAGAATTTAGGCAAGCACACTGTCACTTCCCCATTCCTATTTCAAGTCAGCCTCAGCTCTAGCACTGGAGGGAAAGAGTCATGAAGACATCAGTAAAACCTGGGTTGGGCTAATGGTTACAGTGGCATGGCTACATTCTACCTTCACCTTCATATTCATTGCTTCATTTCAACACTACAAGAGCTCCCCAGTGAACTAACTGGCTTTCAACTCTTAGGAGGACCCTAGGGGAGGGGAAGAATCAGGCACCCAGCACTCAGGGGGGTTTGGTAGCTGGCCCAAGAGTTGTAGAGCCAGGATCTGAGCCCAGATCCATCCTCGTGATTTTATCGTGCTTTTTTCCTTGGAAAAAAACTAACTTCAATATTGCATCTTGTAGCTCAGCCACCTATCTGTGCCTGCTTCCTGCTTCTATCCATTCGGGGGGGTCTCTGTGACCATCATGGCCAGCCGAGTAATGATTACAGGAGGCAAGAAAGTAGTTTGGTTCAATACGACTTTGAAGAAGCAACCTTGTGTGTTTAACATCTCAGGTTCCCCTTGTGCTTATCTGGGAGCACAAAGACCTCTGTGCCTCCTACATCACCTTTTTTTTTTTTTCTTTAGTTTTTAAAAATAATTTATTTTATTTATGCATTGGTGTTTTACCTGCATGCATGTCTGTGTGGGGGTGATGGATACTGGAGTTACAGACAGTTGTGAGCTGCCATGTGCCTTCCATGAGGACCAGGAATTGAACCTGTGTCCTCTGGAAGAGCAGTCAGTGCTCTTAACCTCTGAGCCATGTTCCAGTCCCCTGTTTTAGCTTTTAAGGAGAAAATTGTGTTTGTAATAGAGGCCAAAGTTGAATGCCTTGCCAGCATGGCTAGTCTATTATGGCAAGCATAAGAGAATTTTTAGAATAGCTAACAGAGTACTAAGGAAAGGGGGAAACCATCTTAACTATGATGGCCAATCAAAGGTCACTTGAGATTTTTGAGATTTTGTTTATCTCTTTATGCAGATCATTAATTTGATGATCAACATTATGAGAAAATGTGACACATTAAAGCAACACATGCTTTAACTTGCTGGCAACCAAGATTAACAAATATCTACAGTAGCTCTATTTTGTAAAAATGAGGTTCCTCCA